GTGTCACATGATTCTTCAGAAATCATTCTAATATGCTGATTTGGCGTTTGAGAAACATTTCTTATTAAAGTTGTGCTTAATATTTTTGTGAAAACCATGTTGCATTTTTTTTTCAGGATTCTATAGATATAGTTATGGGTCAAGGAAATTTGATTTCTCATGTTACATGATCCCTATTAACATGTGCACTAAGCCATTATTCTAGATACTAATTCAGATGAGTCGACTATAGTTGGTTATAAAACTTCTTAATTTTGTCTTTTGTTGCAGTCTGCAAAACTGAGAAAACTTCCACCATTCCTGACCATTTCCTTGTTGAGGTTCAACTTTGACTTTGCCAAGTGTGAGCGCTACAAAGAGACCGGGAGCTACGCTTTTCCTCTTACATTCAACCTCAGACCATTTTGTGAGCAGGTACCAGAGCTGAATCACACGCAAATACATTTTCCAAACTCTCCAGCCAAGTAAGATAAATCTGTGTTAATAGTGAAGATTCTACACTGAACAGAGTATGATATCTGGTCATGTTTTGTAGAATGCACTGCAGGATCAGAGTTACCATCCTGTTAGCAGCTGTTGAGAACCTTTAGATTGTTATCCCAGATTCATCAAGCAGAGACTAACTTTTTAATCGCTAGTAAACTAGAAGCACAGGTCTAGAGGGAGAGCTAAAATGACCACAGCAACTCAATTTCAAAGCAGAGGATTAACACGTGTTGTGCTTCTGACAGAACAATTGGCCAGACTCAGAGTATTCGTACGAGCTCTTCTCCATCATCATACATAAAGGAGGTTGTTATGGAGGTCATTATCATGTCTACATCAAAGACATCGATCAGCTCGGCTACTGGGAGGCACCGGTTAGTCTTTTGTTTTTTATTGCAGTGTCTATGTATGGTTAGATGACAGGTAATTTCTATTTGTGATTTTTTTTTTCTTAGGAGGAAGAGGTAAAAGTGAAGCCGAAAACCCAGAAACGAGAGGACAAAGTCGGAGAAAGAAAGAAAGAGAGTGAAAATTCTGTTGACGAAGAGGATCCTCTCTCTGTACTTACTGGCATTCTGGCTCAGGTACGCCATTACACCATTAAACTACAGTTATGCAGGACTGTAAGTAGATGTTTGAGATATTATTAGCACTTTTTGATTTGTTGCAGTTATTTAGCGTATAGAACGATGAACCCTCATTTGAATCAAGAAAATGTCATTTTATTTAGTTCACAGATCAGTGAAGAGAAATTATGGACATATTCTATGTTTTGAAATGCAGGACAACTGTAATAAATATTTCTTAAATTTTGCGGGCATACAATTTCACATGCTGATTTTCACTTGTCTTTTTGTTAGGAGGAGTCAAAATGTGTGCTTGTAGACCAGCTGGGCCAAAAGCTGATGAATAAAACCGGCACGCCATGGAGCAAAAAATATAAAAAACAGTATGGCACCATC